TATTTGTTCTTGAATTTTATTGTGTGTGGAACTACTCTCTATATTTGGTGTGAGGGCACATGATTTGCAAAGAAAATGTAATGTCTTTGGCCTCTCTGTTAGAGTAAGCGAGCAAGTTTTTGAAAAATACGTGGTATTTTTTAGCCGAGCCTTGAGCTAGGATTTTATGATAGGGTGCTTAGTATGCTTTAAATATTCCGGGCATGATGCGTTAGGGAAGTTATCTTATGAGAAGGTCATCTCTATGTGAAGTGCAGTTTGATTGCTCGAGGACGAGCAATGGTTTAAGTGTGTGATGTTGATGGCAAGCGAGAAACCCATGTTTTAATCATAGTTTGCACTCTAATCACTGTATTTTAAATGTGGTTGAGCTTAATTAATGGTGATTTGCGCTTATTACGTGTTTTATGCCTTACAGGAAATGATTTCGAGCTATAAAGATAATTTGGAGCTAATTTGAACAAATTAGAGCTTTGAAATCTGAGTAAAAGCCCAAGAAATTAAGCTGGAATCACGTTCGAAGGTCGAGGACCAAGTATGGATGTCAAAAAGTGAGAAAAAAATTACTTTGAGAAAAATGCACTACCGCGCCGCGGGGCGCGGGGTGCTATTGCAAAATTTCTACACAGTGAAATAAATCAACACTCTGAAAATCCTCACTGATGCGCCGCCCTATGCGCCAGTATATTTTTGCGGTCGAATTGTCCCACTTCTTCTTGAAAAAGGTAGTTTTGTCCGAACCCGTTCCTACATCATATAAATACATCAAAAACACGATTTTAGGAAACTTCGACCTACAGAAGATTGGAAGAGTATTGGAGACTCAAAGCACAAAGATTCATCATTCTTTCCTCAACCCAACACCCGAGTTTGGATTGAATTCATGTTTTCTTACTCTTTAATTATATTTGTGATGACTTTCTCCATGATTATGGAATAGTTTCCCTTAGGGTTTGACGGATATGGTGTTTTGATTGCTATTTGTGAATTGTAACTCTAGTTCTTTGCTTGAATTCGTTTATGGAGCGTTGAATTGTTTGCAACTTTATTCACCAATTTATTAAATCGAAAGAGGAATATTGTGGTGATTATCTTGCATTATTTTGTTTGTTTTAATTCAATAATTCTCTTAAGTAATCGAAAGAGCTTATCTAATTGTTGATTAAATAAAGTTAGGAGAATATTCGAGAGACGTTTTCCTAAAGACTAATCCATAAACACATGTTTGCATATTTTCACAATGCTTATATTAGTTCACCTCGTAGAGTTAAAATTTAATCGAGAGAGGAGTCTGACTACACGTTTGAATTAATCATCGAGTGAATTTGTGAGAATCATTAGAACATCATAGTGGATTGAACTAGAGTTGGATCCCAAATAGCTATCTTGCACCTATCCTATCACGACCCTTATCTCTCCCATTGATATTCAGTGTTGCTCAATGCGTCTTCCAGTTATCAATTGTTAATTGTTCTGGTCTCATAGTTAATTTTAATTATTAATCATCCCAACCAATGCGTTAATCATCCTGAATAGCGTTAAGCGAGAAATTACTTGAACATTATTTAAATTCAATCCCTATGGAGACGATAATAATAATTATACTATCTTTGACTAGCGAGCATTAATTTTATGTTGTGTTTGCGCTCTTCAATTGTATAAAAGTCTACATTTTCCGAATGAAGCATCCTTTCAATCAAAAACTGTTTAGTATGAAAGGTATTGATAACGTGTTCAATTTATTACCTAAAGCTGGAGATAACCAGCAAACAAAATAGCACAAATTTCTTTCACTATGGTCCCTTCTCTCTGGATTCAGGGCATGCAGCAGAGTTAACCTTGGTCCTCCACGAAAGGAAACCAATGGGTGGCTAATCATATATGAAGTTGCTAGTTTGGTATGCTTGAGTCTTGACAGACAACCAAAAAAAAAAGGGCTACCTAAATTTAGTGGTTGCTTGAAAAGAATAGAGGCGGGTTAAGGAAAGTGATTTCGTACAGATGTTGGTTATGCAATTACGGTTAAACATTGTTGAATGTTGACACTGCAAGCTCAGAAACACCTTAAATTTACAAGCTCAACAAAACCTAAAAAAAAAAAAAAAAAAAAA